AGCAAAATTATTATACCAAAGATTAAGTTCTTCAGCTTGTTTCTTATCTTCAGGATTATAAACAAAAACTGTACCATTTAATTTATAACTCATTGCTGCCCATGTATGTTCAAATCTATATATATATGGAGAATTTTAGAATATGTAGTTTGTTTATATATCAAAAATATATACTTAGAATCACCACTACAATCATAGATTTGTACATTATAATTTTGTGATTTACCTCGGGTTGATGATGGAACTTCATATTCGATAATCCTTTAATGATAAATTCGGTATTTAATTAAAGATAATTTCGTATGCTTACCGTACAGGAACTGTTGGAATGTAACTTTCAGTAAGACTTTCGCGTGTTTCGGTAGCAAAATTTATAAATGAGCTTTTACCACTCTGCAGAAGTACAAGATTATGTTTAAAAGTTATAAAAGAAAAGTGAATACTAACAGCAAGTGGACCAACAACAGCAATCTTTATTACAGGAGCTGGCATGTTTCAAATAATAGGATTGATTCAATTGACATGGACATAGTTCGTTCACATGTTAGAATCGTTGCCATGGAGAGTGTTAGTCATGGAAAGTTGGTTTATAAAATTATTCTTTTAAATAAACTAAAAATCATAGTAAATTCTAATGAGAAATAAATAGAAAAAATAGTAAACATTTCAACAGAATAGATGTCGCTACTGGAAGATAGGCCTCATAGAACAGGAAACTCTATTGTATCCTTTAGAAGATAGAAGTATATCAGAATTAGACATTTAATTTCAGATAAATATAAAAACTCACGGTTTGGTATTCATTATATGTTATGATAACCGTACTTAGTATATATACTTTGATAGTTTGACATATTTAGTTTATTCGGATAAGATGGCAGGTGATGTTCTCTCGCACACGTTTTTATCAAATCAAAAAAATTAAAATTTAAACATATGGATATACGATATCGTATTTATTATTGTTAATAATCCTACAGTAGTCTCCACAAATAATTTTTACATATCAATTACTTTTGGGAATCGTACTGTGTATTTATTAAATATAAATTCAAAAAAAAGTATTATTTAGTTCATTTTTATCGTTTATCATTTTTAGTATTGAAATCAAACTTATCCATCATGATACAATACGAAAAAATAATTCTATCAATGACACGATCTTCTTTTGTACAAATTACATTAGAATCGCAAATTTTCTGCATATATTAAATCCCGAAGGAAATGATTGTTCTACAATGTATACTTTAGCAATATTTTCTTGTTTATATACCTCATATTCATATGCAATGTAATCAACTCAAAATTATATTGTTTCATAATCAAATCTATATATACACTTTTGAAAAAATATTTACCATTATTAAAATTTGTACTGATGAACAAGCAAAATAATATTTTAATATAGAATTATCCCTAATTCGAGATTTATTTACAACAATAACAACAAAAAAAAGAAGTTTACATTTCACCACATTGAGAAATGATAACAGGAATTTTTGGCTTATTATTCAATGCCACCGGTACATTCTCAATTTTTCGAACGACTAACATACCTTCGATAACTCGACCTATATAAATACAAAGATTAAAAATATAATTATCATAATTAACTTACCAAAAACAACATGTTTTCCATCAAGAAATTCACAATTAGTACATGTAATAAAAAACTGACAACCATTTGTATCACGTCCACTATTAGCCTAAAAAATAAAAATTCTCAGTGTTTTATCTAGGTTTTTCCTTTCGAGGTGCGATAGCGATTTCCGGGAGGGCAAATACATAGTATAAGCACAAAAATTGCAATTTTCGGGTGGGCAAAATCGTTTTACGAGAGGCCGCCGCTATCACTGCCTTCCCTCTAGACAAATCACTGCAAATTATCTTACCATACTAAGAAGACCAGCTTGATTATGTTTAAAGATAAAATTTTCATCTGCAAATTTGCCTCCATATATACTCATTAAACCAGTTCCATCGCCCTATGTGTTAAAATAAAGAAAAATATTTTCTAAATTTAAATTTATTCACTTACATTAACAATATCTCCACCTTGTATCATAAAATCTTTAATAACACGATGGAATGGTGCATTTTTATATCCACTTGGTACGCCATCTTTTTTATATTCACCAGTGCAAAATTGTCGAAAATTTTCTGCTGTTTTCGGTGCTGCATGTGCATAAAGTTCAATTAATATTCTTCCTATTTCTGTATTTCCAACCGTTATATCAAAGAATACAACTGGATTATCTGCATGTAATAAACGTTCTGTCCAAGACATGTTTTGTTTTTATTATTATTTATCTTTCTCTAAATAAATACAAATACTTGATGACTTATTGTTTTCTTTTTGTTTTATCGAAAATATAAACGAAGAAGAAAAAGAAAAGTCTTAGTAGAATTTATTTAAGTAATATGATTCATCACAACTTCAAAAGAAAACATGTTTGTGTGTTTTTTTGCTTGCAAACTTTCTTTTTTCTTCATTTTTTGAGCTAAAAATATGAAATTGAATTTAGTGTATGAAGAAGAAAAAAAAACGCAAACGATCAAAAAAGAAAAAGACTGGAATAAATGATTAGAATGTTTGTTTCTTTTTTTTTTTCTTTCATTCTGATCAACAACAATAACAACAAACTCATTTTTTTTCATATAGAATATCATTGTTCATTTGTTGAAGGTACAGTAATAAAAAAAAAAGATGTTTATTTTTTTGGTTCATTTTCAAGTTTGCAAACTATGATTGCTTCTTCACCAAGTGCTTTAAGTACAGTAAGTTTTAATGCATCACCATTATCAAATCTGGTTCTTATTTCTTGACCTAATTCACCTTCAGGAAGTTTTAAATCACTACGAGTATCCGAACTATCATCCATAAGTGAAACGTAACCTTCATTATCGATATCCATTAACTAAATTAAATGAGAAGAAAATATAAAAATCTCGTTTTCTTTGATTTAGAAATATTTTTACGGTATATTCAGTACGTTTAACATTTGGTACTTCCATATTATGTGTTGATGGACAGATATCTTCGTATTTTTTACCTGTAAAGATATCAATACCAACCATATTAATCTAAAAAATAATATGATAAATTTTTTTATTCAAAAAAAACTTTTCTTCTATACTTTAGCATGTCCATGTTTGCCTGTTTTTGATGTTGACATTTCCATAATTTTGCATGGACGACCTTTTATTAAGACATAGCCGCTTTTACGTAAAGCCGAACATTGTTGAGGATAACTATATATATAATATATACAGATTGATTTAAATAATAAATAAATTATGCATACGTATTTGATGCTCCGGCATCACCAGTTTGGAAATCTTCATTCCCATCATCAAAAGCATCACCAGCATGTGTGTCGGCCATGTTAATATTTAAAAAATAAATATATGTGAAAGGTCTACAATACAAAAAAAATATAATTTTAGATATTCAAGAAAGACAATATGTATATCATCTGATAAAAAACAAAAATGAATCAACGAGTAAAGTTTTTTTCTTCTCCACGTATGATGGTGCAATCTAGTATATTATATATCGCCATTAGAATGATGATACCTCTGTTAAGAAGAAAGCAATATGTAGTCGTCTTCGATTTTTCTATTGTTGGATAGGTATTATTTTTACGAAATGCCTCCATTAATTTTCTATATTAATTATCAAATAAGTTTTAAATGAAAATTTATTTGAAAAAAAATATTATTTCTTTTTTCATATATTAAATCGAAATATATTATAGAATTTATGCTTGAACCTGACATCTATCGTATGTATGTCTGTCAGAATTTCTGAAGGACATGAAATTCCATATTTATAAAATTTCAATGAAATATTTATTTCCTTCGGCATTTTTTGTTTTTTATACAATAGTTTATTATTAGAATATGATGGAGTGCCGGAATAAATAAACTTAAATGAACAATTTGTTTTTATGACCTTGAGAATTTTATATTTAGAACTTTCATCTCTTTATTTTTGTTATGAAAAAGAAAAAAAATTTCAAAAAAATAAATACTATCTCTTTTCCTAAATACTATAAATCAATTCACATTCATATTATCCTATACAACAAACAAAAATTCATTGAATAAAGAGTAAAAACCCATCTTTAATCAAATTTTGAATCGTTGTTTAAAAATCTATGTGTTCAGGAGATGATAATAAACGGCACTAAATTAGAAATAAAGTTTTTAAAGATGATCAAAGATAAAAAAAAAGGGAATATTATACCAATTTATGCATTACATCATCGCTATTATCGAGAGGTTTCTGACAAAGCAAACATATCTAGAAATAATGATCTGATAGTAATTTATTATTATTAAAAATATGATGTTGATACTTTTGATCGAACTATTGTTATCGGATCAATTTGTCGTGGAGAAGAAGAAAACGTTGGTGTTGATGAATGACTTATCGATGATGATGAAATCAATCGATGCATTTGCCTTCCAACATCAAACATAATCGGTGATGATTGAATGGTAAACTCTTCGTCCATCATATTATCTTTATTTATAGATGATTTATTAGATGATGTTATTATTTGATTCATAATTAATATTAAATGTTGAAGTTCATTACATAAATGATTTGTATCTTTTAATTGATAACGTAAATTATTTTCATTAGCTACTAATAATAAATATTTAAAATCCGCAAGTATTCTATTCATTAATTTAACCTAAAAATAAATTTTATAAATAGAACTACTATAACATTAAGAAATTTAATTAGTCAATTTTAAAATAATTTATAACAGCGGTTGGCGACTGTCGCCTCCTGCGACAAACCCGTCACTATTATAAATACATACTGTATGTAAACTATATTCTTTAAGTAGAGTGTATTGAGCATTATCATCATGGGTTTGTGTTGAACGATTGATCTGATCAATGAATTGATCATATTGTGTGGAAACATCATTCACAGAAACTGTTCTATTATAGAAATGAAATGAATTAGAAAAATCAAATAGTTAAAAATATACTTTGATGCTTTTTTCATCGTTTCAATATATTGAAGACTTTGTTCAATTAAATCATCATAGATTAATTTATATGATGAATTATTTTCTTTATTTGCAGTTATAATTTGATTATTATTATTATTATTATTTTTTACAACAGAAAATTCATTAGCAAAAGGATTTAATTCTGATATTGGTTTGGTTTTTTGTTCAATAAATGTCAAAAAATTATTCGAATCAATATTATTATTCTCGTTAGAAAATTTAATAAATGAATTATTTGGTAAATTAACTTTACAATCTCGAAGATTTTTTTCTAATGGATGTACCATTAATTGTCGTGGTGGTGTAGGTAATAGACCATCGGAATTCGGATAAAATGATGGATAATAAGGACTATAATTAATAGCATAATTCGGAAACATAGCTGGTCTATACAAATGTTGATTTGGATACGAAAAATGCATGGGCATCATATGAAAGATTTCAATAAATAATACCCCTTTCCCTAAATCTGAATATTTTTCAAATAGACAAATGAAAATATCTTTTGAACATCGTAGGTGTCGTACTAATCTGATTTATTTCTGAACGAAAAGGAAAGAGCGAATGGCGCAAATCTAATCTATTCGAATAATGTTATTTTTTATTATTATTATTAATTTCTTATTAATTTTTCAAAAGACAAATACATTTTTTCTTTCAATTAATAATAAACATATATTTATTGAATGTGGTCGTTCAATTATAATTAAAAATCATTATTGGTTTTTATCGGAATTTTTACATTTACTAAAAACATTTGATAGAAAAAATACATCATTGAATTATCAATATATTCCATTTGATCATCTCTATATAATTTTAAATCATATTTTAATTCATTGTCAACATGCTCATCATTCATATCAAGTAAATAAAAAAACAGAAAATATTGATCAATTATATCGATGGTTAAAAACACGAATAAATCATTAAAATTTTTACTTTTTTTTGTTTTGTATAGACTGTTGAGTGTGTATTTTAAATATGTAAGTATATAATAAGAGAGAAAAAAAAAGAAAGAAAGAGCGAACCAAAGAAAAACATCAAATACATTGTGTTGGTCTTCATTCTGCGAAACACACACACACACACACACACAAACAGATCAAGCAGCAAGAAGAAAAAAAAAAGAAACTTAGCAGCAGAGCATAGAGCAGTGAGACAAGAATAAGAAAAAAAACATAATAATACACGCGCTGATTAAAACGACTAGAACAACTGCGTTCGCTCTGAGAAGACACACACAACAGCAGAGAAATAGGACGAGGAGACTGGTGTGAGAACTATGTTCACACGATTCCGGTCCATAACGATACGATAATTAGAAAGAAATACACACACACACACATTCATACATGCGTACATACATACATACATA